TCACACTGGCCTCTGTCCGTCCTCTGCCACCGGTACCTCAGGCCGTGGGTCCCTGGGCTTTGTGCAGACACTCCCATCTTTTTGCCCTCTGTCCCCGCTGCCTACCCCCTGAGACATACCAGAGGTGTCCTTGGTACCACCCGCCTGACCCCTCGCTGCCATGTCTCGGCCACTGGGGGGCGCTCGGAACAGGAACTCGAGGACAGCAGGAGCGGCCCCCTGGGGCGGGGTTAGACGCAGAGGAGGGCAGGCGGTGGGGGCCGGGGTCTCTGGAGTGTGGGGACAGAGGGTAGGAGAGAAGGTCATCAGCCAGGCACGTGACTGAGCTCAGACAGGGCTAGCGGCAGGACGGTCACTTCTGCCGGGAGGGCCCTTTTATGTTTCTTTTCCCCATCCCGACTTAGAGAGTGGGGCAGTCAGGGAGGCCGGGATGGCAGCGTCGTGGTGGGTGGGGAAACTAACTCGCCGCCCCTCCACAGACTGACCCCAACGACTACGGCTGCCTGCTACCCAGCCCCAAATCTTCTCTGCTCATGCCAGGACTCCTGAAGTTCCCCAGACCAAACATCTGGGTCTGTCACACACGCTGGGGATCTGAGCGGTGTACAGAACATCATGAATCCATGGTCAGACCCTTCTGTTTCCATAGTGCGGCCAGATTTAGACGACAGGGGACACCGGGAGACACTGTTAATGGGTCTTCTTCACTCTGACGTACCCTCATGTTTACTGATGACACATTTTCTGTTTTTAAGAGCTGAATATTAATTAGGGTGCTGAGTCAAATAAATTATACTGCTTTCTAATCGTCACTCAGCTTTGCACGTGGGGATTTGTTTTGTTGTTATCCCGAGGATCTGATGCAGAACCTGCCACTGCATAAATTGTTCAGTTGAAACAGGAATTTTATTAATGGACCATTTTCATTCTGAAGGTAAAGCTTTGCCTATTTAATTGCATTGATAGCCTGTGTGACTTTTCCTAATGAGGAGGGTACTTTATTAACCAGCTCATCTGACCTAGAGCTCTAGTCAGTTTATCTACAAGATTCCAGGGACCCATTGGCTTTGAAAGGCAGCTGTGATAATGTGGACTGAGTGCTGGGCTGGGAACTGAAGACCTCAATTTTCATTCAAACTCTCTCTCCCTCTATAAGGCAAAGCCATTTCAATTTTATCATTTATAAAATGGCCATTACCAATTTTATAGGACTCAGGTGGGGATTACAAGATGAACATTGGTTGCCAGGCAAAATTTAGACTTCAGATTAAGCCTTCTCTGTGTGTTTATGTGGGTTGTCCAGCATGCCCAAGCAAACCATCCAACCATTTCGCATTGAAACAGGTGCAGACTTCTGGTATCCCGGATCATCTGGACTCACAGTCCCCTCCATCTGCCACGCCTATCACGTATTCTCATGTAGTGTTCACTTCATTTCCCACAATGGTTACTCCAACCCTTGGCCACATTTAAAGTTCTCAATATCCCGTCCCTCTAAGAGTTGGTTTTGTTTTCAATTGTACAGGAAAAAACAAACAAACAAACAAACAAAAAACCCAAACCAAAGCTATGTATATAAAAAAATGAATCTACATCATGTTATCAATTCTCTAAGGAAAAAAGACTACAATGAAATATGCCAGAATGTAAGCAGTGGATTTTTGTTTCTTCATACTTTTCTGTACTTTTCAAATGTTCTGTTACATGTATGACATTATGTGTCCAAAATAACAAAAAATAACAAAACAGAAAAGCTAATATTTGTGGAGCTGCCACCTACCAACCGACTCATCCCCTGTTCCAGCCTAGAGGACGGGGTCTCTCTCTCAGGGCTAAACTGATCATCTGTGCTATTAATTCCATTTTCCCCTGACTTCTCATGGATCTTACACTGTCATTAGCTAAACTTTTCCCACCACATTCAACCTCCCACTCCTTTTTAGTCTATTTTTCTTATTACATAAATATGCTTAAGTCCCCTCTGCACCTTAGTAAACAAACCCTGGTGAACCCCAAGTCTGTCTTGGCCCCACCCTCACTCTGGATCCATAACCCTCCTTTCTTTTACCACCAGAGTTCTAGAATGAGCAGCCTGAATTCCCAGTCTCTAGATGCTCACGACTGACCCTCAACCTATTGTAGTCTGGCTTCTTCCTTCATGATGCCCTTGAAATTGCTCTTGCCAAGATCTCCGGTGACACGGTTGTCTCATTTCAGCCATTCTTACTGGACTTCTCTAAGACATTTGACACTGTTGTCCATTTCTCCTTGAAACTCTCTCTCCTTGGTTTCCTATGGCACCATTGTAATGATAGTAACTACAGTTGATGCTGTGTACCCTGCACTGTGTACTGTGTCTACTTACAGAGAGTGCATGTGACCTTCATTCTGACGTAGACGGTAGACACCTCCATGATAAAGTAAAGAAATCTGGGTTAGGGGGGTTAGGAAGCTCTTGCATGCTTTCATGGCTACAAAAGACGGAGTGAGGACGTGACCTTCAGTGTTTCTCAATCCAAAGCCCAAGTGCTTCCCTCTTATAATGTTCCCTTTCCCAGCTTTCCTCTTGCCTCTGTGGCTGCTCATTTTCCTTTCCTCTGGGGGCTCACCTTTTTATGATACCCCATTAACACTGGTGCTCTTTTGGCCCTTTTCTTTTTGGACTCTGTGCCATCTTGTTGGAACATCCTAGCTATGCCATGAATTCAGCTACAGATTATAAATTCCCCAGCCCGGCTCTTCCCTGAGCCTGCAGCCCACGGGTGCAACTGTGAGGGACATTTCTACCTGACTGTCCCACAGGCCCTTCACACGCAATGCGTCTACCGTGGAGGGCACGAGCCGCTCCCACATGCCTTCCTCCTCATGTTCTGGGTCCCCACCCCCACCGGGTGCCATGCCCCGTCTCTCCTCTCTGCCTAGGCTCCTCATCTCTTTTATTGTGCCATTGGCATAGAGCCTCACTATGGCTCACCAGGACCTTTGTGGTTACCATCCTGCCCGCTTCTATGACTCGAGCTTTGACCCTATCTAAGCTATTCTGCATCTCACCTCAAGAATGATCTTTGTAATACGCAACCCTTATCCTATCAGACCCCAGCTTGGACCTCTCCAGTGGTCTCCCATTGCCAGAAATACAACCCGAGCTCCTTTCTGTGGTCTTTTGGGGTCTCACTCTTCCTTATCTCCCCTCCCTGTTTTCCACCACCTCCAAACAGCTTGCAGTCCACGCTCCCAATATTTTGGCCTGCTCAGAATCCTCAATTCTATGATCTCAGGCCTTTGTGCACATATTTCCTTTGTGCAGGATATTCTGTCTGTGCTGGTCAATTGGGCATATTCTGTCTCATCTGTTGAGTGTCAGCTCAAATACTGCCACTGGGAGAAGCCCTTCCTGATTTCTTCCAGAAGATGACTCAGGTGCTTCTTTTCCTGTATCCTCCCTGAACTTCGTTTAATTATTTTATTGTACTCTAATTATCTATTAAGTTGTTTGTTTCTCTTTTAGATTATGAGAGTCATGGGAAAGACACCATGACTATTTCTTTATTTTTTACTGTGAAATGTAACACACCCAGAAGTGAATTAATAAAAATTTAGAGATAATGAGTAAGTTTACTATGAACACTTGTGTCACTATCTTAGTCCTTTTGGTTGCTATAACAAAATTACCGTAGACTGGGTGGCTTATAAATGACAGAAATTTGTTTCTCACAGTTCTAGAGGCTGGAAAGTCCAAGACCAAGGCGCCAGCAGATTTGGCGTCTGGCGAGGGCCTGCTTCCTGGTTCATAGATGGCTGTCTGTTCACTAAATCTCACACGGTGGAAGGGGAAAGGGAGCTCTGGGGCTTCTTTTATAAGGGCACTAATTCCATTCATGAAGCCTCCACACTCATGTCTTAATCACCACCCAAAGGCCCCATCTCCTAATATCATCACTTTGGGGATTTGGATTGCAATATATGAATTTTGGGGGAACACAAACATGCAGACCATAGCACTATTCCCCATGTCGTGGAATGGAGTATTGTCAACACCAGAGCAGCACCAGTATCCCTTCCTGATACCACTCATCCTTCTACTATCTTGACTTTTATGGCAATTACTTCCTGGCTTTTCTTCATAGTTGTACTACCTGTATACACATTCCTAAACAATATAGGTTTGTTTTATAGGTTCTTGAGCTTTATGCAGATGTAATCACATTGCAGGTATTCTGTTGTATTTTGTTCCTTGCATTCAACATTGTCTTTATATTTTTCATCCACATAGTTGTGTGTAGCTCTGTTTCTTTTTATTACGTATAATGTACTTCATTATATAAATACACTACATAGAATATATCTATTAGTGTATATTTGGTTTATTTCAAGTTTTTGGCTATTATGATGCTTCAAATATCTTGTGCACTTCTTTTAGTACCCATGCATCTGGGTGTCTTCAGGGTTTAGATCTAGGAGTGGAATTGCCTTCACAGGGTGTGTATATCTTCAACTCTACCAGATAAGGCCAAACTGTTTTTCAAAGTAGATGTTGAAATTTACATTGCGCCGATGTGTTGAGAGCTCCCAATGCTCTATCTCTTTGTCACCATGTGGTATTGTCACACTTTCAAATTTTTACCATCATGATTGGTGTCTAGTTATATTTCATTGTGGTTTTAATCTGTATTTCCCTCTGAGTAATGAGGTTGAATAGCTTTTAAGTGTTTATTAGTCATCTGGATTTTCTTTGGTGAAGTACTTAATGTAAGTTTTGTTCACTTTTCTAATGGTTTTTTTGTCTTTATTTTATTGCTTTGTAAAAGTTTTTTTTAATGCAATCTGGATATGAGTTCTCTGTTGGTTATATGTGTTGAAAATCACACACACTGAACAGTAATTGATTATAGTGATTTTTGATTCTTTTGTACTAATGAGCAAGTAGAAACAGAATAATTAGAAAAGATGAATAATAGTATACACTATTCAAATTAATCCTCTCCTTCTCTTTTCTGCAGGTGTTATTATTGTCCCCAGTGCTGGTGTTGGTATTGTCCTGGGAGGCTACATTATAAAAAAATTGAAACTTGGTGCCAGAGAATCTGCAAAACTAGCAATGATCTGCAGTGGTGTGTCTTTGCTGTGTTTTTCAACCCTGTTTATTGTTGGATGTGAAAGTATTAATCTAGGGGGCATCAACATCCCTTATACCACAGGGTAAGTACCTCTGAAGAGCCATTTCGAGTCAGCACGTTTGACGTGAGAAGCCCACTGGGGCTTATACACCGGCAGTCAGACCCCGGGCCTCCCTTCAAGCTGTTCTTTCTGAGCATGCTTTGTCTTTCTGAGGAGAGCACACACTCCTGGAGGGCAGAGGCCAGGGTCTCACCTTCATCTGTGTCCCCTGTGACTCTTGCAGAGAGACTTCCATAGCATTTCGGTTACAGAATATGAGGAGGAAATGCTTGTTGAGTTAATGGAAACTTTTCTGTTTTTAATGCAACATTCTGAATAGGTAGTATATTCACATAACTTAAAAACATAAAATTTAATGAAAGTACAATGTACAATGAAAAGGCTTGCCCTTACCCAAGTCCTCCATCTCCATCCACCAACTTCTCACTCTTCCAACTGAAGATAAACCAGGTAACCGCTTTTATTTGTTTCTTATGTATCCTTCCAGGGCTTCTTTATACAAGACACTATGAATATGTATTTTCAAATTTCCCTGTTTTATATCCAAAATATAGCATTCATACACTTTTCTGAGCTTTTTAAAAAAAAATGCAACAATTTAGCTTGGAGAGCTTTCTTTTTTTTAATTTATTTTTTTATTTTTTAAAATTTTTATTGAATCAAAATTGATTATAAAATTTTGGGGGTTCAACATTGAGATATGTTGATCAAGTCAATATTACTAGCATATATATTGTTACAAATCGTAATTATTATTTATGCCCCTTGTCCAATCCCGCCCCATCCCCCTTTCCCTCCCCCCGCTCCCCTCTAATCACCCTAGACTCTTCTCTCCCTCGGAAAGAATAATGGTTACTCTGTTCATTTGCTGCCCAAAAGATCTATCCAATGCTGAGAGGTGTGATCAGGTCCTCCAGTACTATCATAGAGCAGATACTTCTTCTGTCACTCAGAAATGGACTCTGTGGAGACAGACATCCTCCTCCTTTCTTTATCTCTGCTGGTGACTCTCCTTGTGTCAATGCACTCCAGTGGCTCGTGGACCATCTGTGTGGTGGTTGTGGCATCTAACCGCCTTCACGGCAGCCATGGTATCGTAGTGGCTGTGGTGGGCCACCCACATGGAGAAAATGTTTTTGGCATGCTCCTTGGCACTGGCGAGGTGTGCCTGGTTGTGGGAGAGGGGGTCCGGTCACCAGCTCCATTCCCCAGGTCCCCAGGTGGGCCCTGAGGTGCTGGCGTGGGGTTCCTGGTTGTGGGAGGGGGGGGTCCGGTCCCCTTATCCATGCCCCAGGTACCCGGGTGGGCCCCAAGGCACTGGTTAGGTGTGCCTGATTGTGGGAGCGGAGTCTGGTCCACTTCTCCATGCCCCAGGTCCACAGGCAGGCCCCAAGGCACTGGTGCAGTGATCCTGGTTGTGGGGGGGGGGTCTGGTCCCCTTCTCCATGCCCCAGGTCCCCAGGTGGGCCCTGAGGCACTTCCGCAGTGAGCCTGGTTGTGGGAGGGGGGTCTGGTCCACTTCTCCATGTCCTGGGTCCCCGGGCAGGCCTTAAGGCACTGGCACAGGGTGCCTGGTTGTGGGAGGGGGGTCTGGTCCCCTTCTCCGCATCCTGGGTCCCCGGGCAGGCCCCAAGGCACTGGCGCAGGGTGCCTGGTTGTGGGAGGGGTGTCTGGTCCCATTCTCCATGCCCTGGGTCCCTGGGCGGGCCCTGAGGCATTGGTGGTATGCCTGGATGTGGGAGTGGGGTCCAGTCCCTGGCTCCAATCCTTGGGTTCCTGGGTGGGGCCCCAAGGTGCTGGTGCTATGAGTGGTTGTGGGCAGGAGTCCTGCCCCTGGAGTCATACCTCATGTCCCCTGGTGGGCCCCAAGGCATTGGTGGTGTGCCTGGACCGGAACTAATGTTTTGTCCTTTGCTTACTTCTAACAGGGGGGATCTTCCTGTGGGAACCAGTACTTGAGCTGTGTGGTTGACCTAAATTGCTGCTTTGCTGCTGTTTCCCTAGGGAAGACTTTTTGTGCAGCTCAGGGTTTAATGGTTGACCTTATATGTACTTCTGGCTCTTATACTAGGTGCACCTGAGTTATGTAGAAACTCTGATCTGGGCCTGAGTTTTTCATTAAACTGTGCCCCATGCAATTCTGCATTCCTGACCAGTCTCCTCTGAGTGGTCCTGCGCTGATTGGGGGGTGGATCGGCTGTCCTTGCTGTGTCCCAGTGTTCTTCCAGTGGGCCCATCTCCCCCACCGCCCTGCTCCAAACACTTCCCAAGTGCCGGTCCCTTGTGATGACTCACTGGCCTCTGAGTGGCTCCATTTTTTCAGTTGTTCTGGCTCCTCGCTCCTGCGTGGGTCCATGGAAGCCCTATTAGTGGTCTTGCTGTCCTGGGGGCCACCAGAGTCCTCTTCTCCCCTTCCGCCTCCAAGTAACTCCATCTAAAAGCACAGCTGCGGCTCCTGCCGGCTCCTGCTCCACGTGCTCCAGCAATAAAGCGGCCACAGGCCGAAATGCTGAGAGCAGTTTTTTCTTTCTCTCATCATGGTTTCTCCTGCCTTCATGAGTTCCATAGGTCTCTCCTCCTCTTCCCCTAAGCTCCAGTGGCCCCAGCTTGGTTGATGTTACATTGTTATCATTGTAAATTCGTTGATTTGTGGGAGAGAGTGACTCTGGGGACTGCCTATTCCGCCATCTTGACCGGAACTTCCTTAGAGAACTTTCTGTACCAGTAATAGTAACACAAAGCATAGCTAATCCTTATTTTTACCCTACTGCATGCCTAGCATTTTTCTAAGTGCTTTACATGTATTAACTCATGAATCCTCACAACAGCCCTATCAGGTAGGCGATATTATTATCCTGATTTTAAAGATGGCAAAACTGAGGTATAGATCACATGTAACCAGTGGTATGCTGGCAAATGTTTAACAAATGGCTCTCTAATAAAAAAAAAAGCCCTGATCTGTAGCATTTGCCAGTTTCTGGGGTGTAAGTTCTCCTTACCATGGCTGATTTGACGCCATCAACTTGAAGACATTGAACACTGAATTGGGAAGAGATGCCCAGTTACACATCATTATATAATATTTCTACCATACAGATATAATAGACTTAAACAGCCTAGTCAAGGGCAGAAATAGAGTAAAATATAGCAAAATAATTAGAAGGTGACAAGTTTTGAGTATTATCTTTGTTTTTAATATCATTTATTTAATTGTGTTTATATAATTTAATTTTTTAATAATGGCTACACTAAACAAACAGTTGGCAAAGTCCCTGAAAATTCAACAGTAAGGCCTTGCGATCCAGGGTGGCTGCCTCCAGCATAGAGCTGCAGGTAACCCAGGACTTAACCCCAAGCAATTTGGCTATAGCATCATGCACTTAAGCACTGCCGTTAATTACTGTATAGCATTCCATTTTGTAATTTAACCTGTCCCCATTTGATGGGCAGTTGGGTTGTTTCTAATCTTTAGTTATTAAAAACAATGCCGTAATAAATAACCTTATGCATATATCACTTCTCTTGTGTGCTTTTATATTTGTAGGATAAATTCCCAGAAGTGGGGTTGCAATAAATATTACCAAATTGCCTCCACAGGTGGTGTACCAATTTTTACCCTCTGGGTTCAGATTTCCCTACAGCCTCACCAAAAGGTGGAAAACTCTTCTTTGAGAGTCATGAAAAGCTTACTTTTATTCTTTATCTACATTTAGGGTTGTTAGGATCTGCTCATTTAACAGAACTTCATTGTGTGGTTTTTGGTGCTTGGTGCCAGTAAACACTTCTGTTTCCTTTTGTTTCTAAATGGAGTTTTATGTAATAAAATGGTCCACTTGAAATTTGAGTAACAGAAGCTTTGATCTCATCTAGCCAATTTAGAATGTTGGTGGCAGGGAAGGAATGGCTAATCAGGCCTTATTTATTTATTTATAAATATGTATAATTTTTATTTGCCAATTATACCACAATAAAAGTGGGAAAAAATCACAGATGTTAAGTGTATAGTGGGTGGTTTTTGACAGTTTTATACCCCATATTACTACCACGAGAATCAACAGATTATTTCTATCACTCCAGAAGTGACAACTTTTCTGATCACAAACTCAACATAGTTCTGCAGACTATAGTCATGTTTATTGAAATCGATCTATCAGCAAAGGGGAGAAAATGCAGGACACTTCTAGTGAATTACATAGAAAGCCAATTAATGATTTTTGGTATCTGATGACAGAAATAGTCTTCTCTCATGGCAGACCCTACTTGTTACTACCAAATGTCATTCTTCCCTTTCCCTTCTTAACAGAACTGCAATTTTGTCATGAGTAACAACATGTCAGACCTTATTTAGATTATAGAACATAGTCATTTGTCCTGAGAGTTATTTTTCCACCAGGAGACATTGTGTGTGTGTAAGATGCATGTACCAGGACTGTGGCTTCTTGATGATAGTGCCTATTAGAATGGCAGAGAAGATAAAGTCTCTAAAAATTGAAGGGAAGTGTAGAATAGGAGCTTCAAATTTAGACTGAGTCAGATCCGAATATGAATCTTGACTCTGCGTGGCTGATTACTTAACTCTAAGTCTCAGCGTCCTCTTCTGTAAATCAGGGTGGTGTTAATAGCTATCATCTTAGAAGGCTGTAGGCAAGGATTATGTGAGTAACGTGTGTGCAGCTCCCAGCTCAGTGCCTGGCACATAGTAAGTGCTCCCTGAAGGTCAGCTATTGTTATTAGTCATCATTAATAAATTAAGAATAATTTCTAGCTTTATCAAATTATGTTTATTACAATTAGAAAACATATATGGATTAAATTAGTAACAAAAACCCAGCAGTCTCCTGACTAACCCTGATGCCCAAGGGCAATAATTTTAAATTCTTTTTAGCTGTCTCTTCTGGTATTTTACCTCTATATTTTAAGGAATAATAAACATTAACCAAATTGAGACATTAAGGATGACTTCCTATCTTGGTAAATGAGTTAGTTCAGCTTTCCCTTCCCATATTGTGGTCAAATCTGTT